TAAAATAGAATATAATCTTTGGTATTATATACGTTAATACTTGAACTTAATTTAAAAAAATACTTTATTCATTTATTTGTACCAGTTTATTTTTATGATTTATTTAAATATAAAAGCACACTAATAGGGACAGGCATATTAATAGGGACACTTACCCTAGTATACTACAAAAACGTTACCCATCCGGTAAAGGCTACACTGTAGCGTCTCTGTACGTACACAAATGTTTCCTGATCGTCATGTAACAAAAAAATATACTTGGTGGCAGCCGCTACCGCGTCTCCTGATAAATCTGCTGAGATTAAGCATTTCACCTTTGAACCGTATAGTATATATAAACCTGTTGAGATAATAATATCGCAGCACATTGCTTCAAAAGCTACAGTAGTGAAATCACGAAAGCCATGGCGAATCCAAAAATCTATTGTGCAAATGATAAAATGCACAAGATTAGAATATCTTTTCTAATCGAAGAATTTGAGGATGTAATGGAAAACATACGTGGAAAGTGTATGGACATCGGTTGTGGTCCTGGAGATATAACAAAGGAAATTCTATTACCGGCTATTGACTCAAATGCACAAATAATTGGTAAAAGAATAATAAATTATAGAAATATTTATACAAAAATTAAGTTATATTTACATACATTTAATTTACTGTTTGCATTTCGTGAAGGTACGGATATTTTGGAGAGCATGATCAAATATGCGAATGAAACATTCAGTGACGAAAAACGGTTGCAATACGAGGTATTGGATATTGTAATCAAAAATTTGCCTAAGAAATATATTTCTGAATTTGATCATGTATTTTCATTTCACACTTTGCAATTGTGCAGCGATATTCGGTAAGCAATATCTTATATAAAATATAATTTAAACTAAATACCAACAATTATTGATATAACGGTACCTTATTAACAAACCCTTTAAATAAGCGTAAATTAATTTCTTCTTACAAACATATTGTGCGTGCATCAGTTTTAGAATAGAACAAGTATTCAAATGCTTATATTTTGATATTTGCCGTATTACTTTACGTTTCAACATAATCGTTTATAATTTCTCGATATTTGTATAACCTAATAAAATAATGACATAATTTAAAAAAAGAATAAGTGCAAAATATTAGTGTTGTAACAGGTATCTGTTAAAAGATATCTAGGTATAGATACAGGTTCTTTGTGGAAAAAGTATTTAATTACAGGTATAGATACATTTTTAAAAAAGTATCTGGGGATAGATACAGGTACCGTATAAAAGTATCCGCAAAATTTAGTTACCTTTTAGGTACATCTTAAAAAAAGAAAATAAATTGCACAAAAATATTTTATTTTAAACTAATACTTATGCAGTATTTACATAAAGATGTATTACTTATAAAATATTTATAAAATAAAATCTTTGGCTAATTGCCATGTTTTAAAACTAATACGGTTTCAAATATAAAATACAATAGGGTAGACGGATGCGAAAAGGATCAATAAAAGTTTTGATATAATTATCGACAATTTTTGTTTCAAATGAGCTGTTTTATCATGTTAGATAACAGTTATTATGTTTTTTTTTAATTAAAAGTATTTCAAACATTAAGTCAATTTCGGGGAGGGTTTAAAATCTGACTACCTGTATTAAAGTATCTTACAACAAATGCAGAGGATGGCAGAAATCTCGTGATAATAATCATAAAATTGCGAACATTATCACGAGAAATAAGATAAACATATAACAATCAAAAATTTATATAATAAAATTTAAAATAATAATATAATATAATTTATATTTATAATAGTATAAACAGTTATAATGACATAATGTACAGATAAATAAAATAAATAATAAATTTTTAATTATAATTGTAATAATAATGACATGATGTATAAATGAATACCTTGTATCTTATAAGAATCTAGATAAGGTGCTTATATAGGTACTTATGCTGCAATATCTAGATACACTTATAAGTACTTATAGATACACTCATAGATACTTATATCTAGGTATGTCTTGTTGCAATACTGCAAAATATAAATAAATTTGTCATGCATTTTGCGTAATTAATAAATGTATTAAGAAATATACTATTTAAAAAATGTTTAATATGTATGTTAATATACATATATTAAAATATTAACAATTTAATGTGTGTTCTTTTAAAAATTAATTACATTTAGCTGTTTAACTTGACAGACAAGCCTTCGAGAATATTTATCAGATGCTACGACCTAATGGAACTATGCTTTTGTCTATAGTAGTAAGTCAAGATATATTTGAAGTTCTCAAACTTTTAACGCAGGACACCCGCTTTGCACAATATATGCCGGTAAATAATAATATGTTATTAAGTTATAATTATTGTTTTATTTATTTCATTATTACTTTTACTACATTTATTCGTTTTGTATTATTTTATAATAATTATAATTTGAATTATATCGTAAGTATTATTTTTTGTCATTTTATCAACTCTTAAACCATAATGGCATAAATTATTAAATATTACTTTTATATTTGTACAGGATATGATAAAAAATAATATGATTTTGCCATATCAAGAGTTAAAAAATGCTCGTAAAGAAATAAAAGAATTACTTCAAAGTGTTGGATTTAAAGTTCACCATTGTAGTCTTCGAGACTCGTGTTATTCCGATGGACAACCACAACAACGACAACTTTTGAGTAAGTTATTTTAGAAAGAAGCAAAAAATTAATTTTACGTATGATATTATTAGTTCTT